AATGATGTACAAATGCGCTTTACACAATTGATGTGTGTATGGATTGGGATAACAGTTGTATGAGCCCCTAATAAAACGTTAAAGAAAAAAAATATATATATACATATACTTTTTTCTCATATATATTTCTTGTATAATACATGTATTTCCTATATTATATATATCTGTATACTTTGTAGAAATTTGGAAAGTATACAAAATTAAATAAAAGAAAATCATTTCAAAAAAAGAAACTATGGCCTGACACCTCTCAGATTTTATAAAAAATATTTATCGACAGATCAAGAAGTTCAGTGAACTTTAACTAGGGGAGTTTCCAATCTCTCCACACCTAAACGCGTCATACGTAACCTGCCAAAAGAGCAGGAGGAAATCTGGACAGAGCCAGAGAACAATGGCTCGTCACATACAAGGAAACCTTGCTAAGATCACCAGCTGGCTTCTCACCAGAAACAATGAACATCCTTCATTGACTCCTTTATCCAGCTCTTTCTTTCTTTTAGAAAAAAGCTTTTATTTATTCTTTTTTATTAGTTGGGATTTAATACATATATCTTTTTAAAAATCATTTACTTAGGGGCTCCATATATCTTTCCATATTTCAATCACGTGGACTGTACAATTGCTACTACAATCAGTTCCCAACATCCAACTGATTTCTTCATCTACTGCTTTATGTATCACATCTTTTCTCCATCAGTGCACATCCCCCTCCACTCACCTGTCTACAGCCATCATCCATTTATCCATCCACCCAAAGACCCATGTAAACACATCCTTCCACTCATCTCCAGCTATTTATGGAACCATCTATTTATTCATTTCGTTCTACCACCACTCAGCCTCACTGTAGATGTTTACGGTCAGGAAGCCTCGGGAAACTTCACTGCAAGAGAAGACCCCCTCCTCTTACCACAGTGTGCCAGCAGGTCTTGGTGAAAGTTGAGCAGCTCCTTTTGAAGCTCCTCGGGGAGAGGACAGTCTTCCTCATCCGCACCGTCTTTGAAGTGCAGTAGCATGTTGATCTAGGGAATGAGGAGACAGGTCAGAGGGAGGGTCCAAGACCCCAGATCGGGAACTCTAAGGTCCAGCAACAAAGGTCCCATTGCACGAGTCAGCGTGTGAGCTCGTTAAAAGAGATATCAGAGACGAGGGCCAGTGGTTTGAAAAGGGTCAGGATCAAAGGATGGGTGACTCAAAAGTCAGGTTGGTTTAGAGAGAGGTATGGGAGTAAGGGAGGAATGTGTCATTAGAGCGCAGAGATCAGGCAAGGGTTCGAGGTTAAGGACCCAGGTCTCAGAGGAGGAGAGAAGGTCGAAGTCAGGATTTAGACAGTGAAGCCACCTAGTTGGGTGGGGTAGAAGTACCTGCTCCTGGGGTGGGGAGCGGAACTCCCGGGTCCGCCGGGCAGTCTCGGCTGCAGACATGGTGAAGGCTTTCATGAGGAGGACATAGCGGCTCCGCTGGTTGCTCTGAAGCTGGTCCACGTATCGCTCTGCAAAGGCGGCGAGGGACTCCACGCGGTGCTGCAGCTCTTGGTCACAGAAATACTCCAGCAGGTGGCACATCTGGGGGGGAACGCCCACGAGGCCATCCGAGTTAGGGCAGGGAGGCCATCAGACCTGCCTTGACCCCTTTCTGGCTTTCTCGTGCCTCCCTGGGGCCCTGTCCGGATCCAGCCACCACCGTCTCCCCCTGGATCCTTCAGTCAGGCTCGTCCATGGTCTCGCCTCTCCAGGCCACCTCCCACCTGGCACCCAGAGGGGTCATTACAAGCCAGCATCCCTGTCCTGCTCTCCCTTCACGTCCACTACTCCCCACCGCCTCGGGACAAAGTCCAAACGCTCCAAACTCCACCAGGCTGTGGGTCTCCCAGCCCAGAGGGACAGAGGCTGAACACAAAGAAGAACCACCCTACCTGTAACTTCACAGACTCTGGTAATTTCATCTGCAGAAGGCCCTCCTCCAAGCCTTCTTCCTTTTCCCCTTCTGCTGCCTCCTCTTCTTCTTTTTCTTCATCTTCCTTCTCCTCTGCCTCTTCCTCCTCATCCTCCTCCTTCTCTTCCTCCTCCTCCTCCTCCTCCTCCTCTTCCTCCTCCTCTTCCACCTCGGTGAAGACTTCAGGCTCAATCATCTTCAGGATCTGCTTGACATCCTCGTCACTAAAGACGCCCATCACCTACAGGACAAAGTCCGAGTCGCTCACTGTTGTCGCGAGGGGCGGGGGGGGGACTCCCACCTCGTCAGGCCCTGGCTCCACCTCCCAGTCCTGCTGCGCCTGCACACGGCACAGCCAGTCCTGCACGGGCTCCCATCACTCCTGTGAGACGCAGGATTGCATCTTCCTGACATAGCGTCCACCCCTTGAGGTCCTCTCAGGTCCGCATCCTGCACCCCCAGGGCCCAGACCATCTAACTCACTCACTGCCGTGGAGTGGAGGCCGACTCACAGTGATCCTACGGGCCAGGGTAGAACTGCCTCTGTGGGTTTCTGAAACTGTAACTCCTTTTTTTGCTTAGAATTCTGTTAGTTTTATTTATTTATTTATTTTTGGATCATTTCATTGGGGGCTCTTACAGCTCTTATTACAACCCATACATCAATTGTACCAGGTATATTTGTACATATGTTGCCATCATTCTTTTCTAAAAAATTACTTGCTATTGAGCCCTTGGTATTGCCTCCTCTTTTCCTCCACCCG